ATCAAAGTGAAACGATACATTAATACGATATGTTGATACGCTTCGTATATATGTTAACTTAAGGGGTGGCGTAAGGGTTTCAACCCTGAATAAAACGCTCCCCAAAAACCAAAGCACTGATCTATTCGTCTTCTGATGTTAACTTAAGGGGTGGCGTAAGAGTTTCAACCCTGAATAAAATTCTCCCCAAAAACCAAAGTACTGTTCTATTTGATCACCACTTACAACATTGATTGCTTTCGGCTCTTCGGTGCCCACTATTAAGTAGAAGAATAATGGCAATCCAATTATTAAAAAAAAAGTGAGGTTAATAATGGCAATCCCAATTATTAAGTAGAAGAAAAATGGCAATCTCATTGTTGAAAAAAAAAAAAGTGAGGTTAATAATGGTAATTCCATTATTAAAAAAAAAGTGAGACTAATAATGGCAATCCAATTATTAAGTAGAAGAATAATGGCAATCCCATTATTGAAAAAAAAGTGAGGTTAATAATGGCAATCCCATTATTCAGTAGAAGAATAATGGCAATCCCATTATTAATGAGAGGAATAATGGCAATCCCATTATAAAAAAAAATATATTTAAATCATGTGACAATGGCAACCCCGTTGTCTGTTTGTAATGAGTTAAACTTTAAATAGTAGCATTTACAAAAATTCTGTTGTTGGTTTCTAAAATTTTAAATTTTAGAAATAGCGCGAGGACGCTTCCAGAGCAGGATGGCCATATAAGAAATATCTCTAACATATATGCAACAACTAAATATCCGACCTCTGTATTACCCAATATTAACACTACCATAACAAGAGTCAGTCTCGGTCGTCGCCCGTAACGTTGCCAATCTCCCTCTCTACTCTTTCGCACTTTTTTATTGCATATCGAACAAGTATATGGGCCATATGTTCATTGTGATTGATTCATTCGTTGTTGAAATGATTAGTTTTGTAGATGGCTACAACAATAAATGCTTAATCCACTCCCACATGTTTATAATAAATGTGGCGAAACTGACTTTTTGTAAGAATATTTTAGTTTCTAGATAACAAGCTAAATTTATTTTCTTAATAGCATTCTCGCAGTTAATGATCGTCAATCGCCGTCAGTCGCGCGCAAAAAAAATGTCTTTATATGGATCTTATATGTATCGCCATTTGCCGATACGAAATGTTTCAAATACGAATACGAAGCTTTAAGAAAGGCTAATTTTCCAGTTGTTGTGTGACAAAGATTTGAATCACTCTGCGACACTTAAGTTAATTTTGACGCTTATGAAAAAAGGTTTGGTGAGAGACAAGAGTTTGAGATACGTATACTACTCGACTCAACCTCTGCTGGTTAGACCTGGATAACTTTATTAGGTAGTCAAAGCTCAATGGCTCGAACAAGTAAAGCAAAAAAAAGTTTTAAACAACGTACAGTAGTTCAAAGATATTCCGTCATCTATTTATAACGTTAAACATTTCTTATAAAAATCATTTTGTTAACTCGCCATAGGTAATTAATCACGCGAGTTCATTTTGACGTTAAAACCGACCATAAAAGCACACAAAATACGACTGGGGCTTCGATAAGTCGTTGTGTCCCGATATTTACTGTGATCCTTATAATAAACCTCAGAAAAAGTTGTCGTGGCCGGCTATAAATCAGGATAGAGGCAAGCGGTTGCCGATAAATAAGAAACATTCGACCGGGACGGTCCATCTGGGGCCAGATCCAGACTGTAACATCAGCACATCGAACGCTGAAGCACGGACGCGTAAAATGAACCACCATTACTCGAAGCGTCACGTGAACTCAACTGCAACCCAAATGGCGCTTCAGTTGGAAGCACGAGGCGCGTTTGATTGAACCTTGTAAAAATCCGATAAGAATTGAGGCCGCTAATTTGCCCAGTCAAGAATGTTAATATTTAACATCTATGATTTTTTCTTTATTAATACAAGATGCATTAAACATTTTTGAATCACATGGAAATCAAAAATATTGTGTAGAATTTTGTAGAAAGAAGTGATCTATTAGCACCTTTTTTGTTTTTCTTGTACTTTTATCTTTATTTTAAATCCAGAATTGGCATTAAAATCTCACACTTCGAACGGAATATTTTATATCAGATAGATAAAATAAGTATGTAAAATATTTGTCATCGTCTGAAGAGATGATTCAATTGTTTGGAAAGTCTATACTTTCCGAACTTTTTCTAAATAAATAACGTTCCGATGTGCAGTCATGTGGTGTAAGTCTACAACGCCTGTAGGTACAGTTTTCCAGATACACTTTCTCCCTGCTTCGCTATATGTCAGCACCTTAGGGCCTCTGCTTTTTAGTAGACGACAAAGTTGACACTCCCCGTATTGTTCGATAAATTGGGAGTTATTGAAACATGCTTTTTTTGTCAACGAAACCCCAACTAACCAAAACCTATTTCAATAAATTTATATCGAAATTATTGAATTTTTAATTTAGCAATTGGTCTAACATCTTTCTAAGTAATGAAAATTGGTTGCGAATTTCGTCACACAATGTTTGTTTCAGCGAGCGTCTCTATAAATCAAAACACTAAAATATGTAAAACAGATCATTTTTCTCTTCGGCCGGGGCAGGTGGACCATCAAAATCCTATCGCGACGAAACAAATAGAAATGAAAAATGTGCTTATCAAACAAAAACAGAATCTTGTTTATTGTCGAGGAAATTGGATTTTTTTTCTCTTTTTCGCTGTTTGCCCGTTCTCGGGATATTGACAATTTGTGAATTGGCGTTGAAGAAACCTTTATGCGCGTCCCGATAAAATCGTTTAAATTATATCTTTGTTTTTCCGCTTCCAAATTATATTTTAGAAACATTTTGTGTACATTTCGACACAGCGACTTACCCGGTGGTAAATAAGAGTATTCGTTTTTCTATTTTAAAATGCGACAATTTGAAAAAAATTAAAAAAATATTTAATTTGTTGGTAGGCACAAAAGCTATATGTATGTTTCCCAGAAAATAAGGAAATATATTACGCATTGAATAAAAAACCGATGTGCTGTACGACTTACTATAATTTTTTCAATTCAGGACCTTTAACTAAAAATAAGGCCGATAAAGTTGCTAGCGAATTTGATTTTAAAAAATGGTGACGTTATAGAGCACCAATCAACATGACCAAATGAATTGAAAATGATGTGGCTAAATTGCTATGCGTTTCATGAGCGACTTTTAAGTTCATGACCATGAAAAACTTTGAAATGTAAATATATCAAATATATCTAAACCGTATGAAAGCCTCTTCTTATGTTGGAGTTCAAAAACAAATGTTGGATTGTTAGATCGGTCGTTGTGTTGCAAAAATGTACCGATACACTGATTTACTAAGCACTCCGCTCGTATCTAATCAAACTTGTGACCAAAATGGCGTTTATTAAACTTGGTGAATAAAATATCAATCGTATTATATGGGTATCACAGACTCTATTTACCAAGTACGAGTTCATTTGACACGAGCGGAACGAGTGTTTAATAAACGAGTGAGTTAAAAAGTTTAACGAACATACTATACATTTTCTACGACCGTTAGTTTTTGGGTACATTTTCGCAAAACACGAATATATTCACTGACATGACTGTCATAATTGACAAACGTCAAAATTCAAAGCGTGGGAAATATCTCCGAAAATATCCGATTGCTCCCAAACCCATGCGGTAGAATCCGGGAAATGTTCGAAGTGGCTCCGATTCGTGGGAAACGAAACTGACCTGGTAAAGCGACGCTTCCCGCACGTTAGATCGGTGCGCAATTCGGTATTTTACAGACGGGTGTAGAAAAAACAAATTAACAGCTCATGGTGATTGTTTCCGTCATGTAAGAGTTAATATTAGGATTATAACTACGACTCGAAATATTCTTGTGTATTATTCTTTAAGCCGTCAGAAAAAAAAAAAGAAAAAAAACAGGAAGTCCGGCACTAACATTAATCAGGAAGTTGACGGCGACTCTAAAGACGTTATTTTATTTATCTTGGAACTCTTCTGGGAGTTGTTTTGGATAAGCGAATAAGCGGATTTCCGGATTATAAGTTCCGGAATTCCTGTCACGGAAGAAGGAAATTCGGTATCTTAAGAGTTCTTTCCGTGTTTCTATATACGCGCCAAAAAGTAAAGAACTGAGAGAAAAAAGGTAAATTAATATTTAATTTAAAGTGAAAAATTTATTTACAGACTAAATGTCTAGATAATACCCTCTAAGTGAGGAGTGTACATGGAAAATTTTGTGTTACACAATTTTATATTGTATCTACCTACGAACGAATAACGAAAGTGTTTCAAATAATAGCAGAATAGCAAGTTCCGTCGCAGAATCTAATTTTGCAACTAAATAATTACTTAAAAATAATAGAACAAAATGAAAATTTCAATTGTGTCTGGTTTAAATATCTATAACTCATATCCTTTTCAAGTGCGTTTACAACATTTGTGTATATAACGAGTTTTTTATTCATTTATAAAATATTATTTAACTTCGATGATAAGGAGTATAGCTGATAAAAAAAATTCGCTTAAAAACAATATTGGACCAAAAGAAAAATGATCCTGCTTTTTACAAAACTTCTCGATTCCTCCTGCGTCGGTTTTTGCTTAGTCGAAATTGCTGACGTTTCGCCAATCACCAGTTTCAGTCAAGCTCTGAAGAAGCCAACAGGATCATTGGCGAAACGTCAGCAATTTAGACTAAGCAAAAACCGACGCACGAGGAATCCAGAAGTTTTGTAAAAAGCATTACAGGTAGCCTGTTGAAAAATTAAAAAAAATATATTCTATTCTGAAACAGAATATTTCTGTTATGTTAAGTAAAGTTGCTTTTAGGAATAAATGAAGTTTTTCTATTAATTATTCCGAAGATTTAATTTTCTCGATTTTGGCCGCTACGTAATCGAGAAAATAAAGACGTGGCCAAGGTTCGAACGAAAGGGGTCGAAACCTTACTATATTGAAATAATGTTGTGGTCTTTTGTTACAGACGGGGAGCCCATCAAATTGCCCGAAAACTTGGAGAGCCTTCCGCGAGCTGACCACTTTCCCACCCAGAGGCACCGCTGGAATACGAATGAGGTACACGAACCGTTTTCTTATTTACTAGAGTGTTAATAATGCAGGCGTTCTGGCCCGACAGCTGAGAGTAGCTAACCTCTCTTATTTCCTTAATAAAACACTCGCTTGAAACGGGTTTGGATATACCAATGTTGTATTTGACACCTATGGAAACGTTTTGCTTCATACATTTTGGCCAGGTTGATAAAACTAATTTGGTCCCATCTTCAGAAATGGTATCTAGAAACCGATTCTCCTGATGACTGAATGAGCTAGCTAAGTGTCTTCATGAATGGAAGTAATAATAGAAGGGTAAAAATTGTTTCGATTATAAACACTGATAACAACTTACACGCTCAATGATTAGAAATCTAATACATTAAATTTCATGTGATGTTTTTCTGTCTCTTTACAATATTTTAGATACAAAATTCCTCGACTTATCCTGTTAAGAAAAAATAAATAATGTGACGATGAATAGAAATTTAAATTAGTACTGAATTGAACGTTGCGTTGCCACAGCTTCAACATTCACGTCATAAAATAAAATTGTACTACTTTTTTACAAACTCAAGAACTTAATCTGACTTGTCTTTTCATTAAATGTCTTATGACAATTCAAAACTAACTAGTATGTTAGTTTTATTACAAATCTTTCCTGTCTTTATCTCTCTTGCACAGTGTTCTAGGGCAGTAATATCTGCTTGCACCATTGTTGCTGACTTGCCTGTAGAAAATATAGAATTTTATTTTCGTTGTGGATTCATTGATTTCGGCTCCTATACATTTTTGAGTTTTTGGTTGTCAGTGTGCTAGATTATTACGTCTGCACTTTTGACGGGCCAATTTTTCATTCTTCTCTGGTTAGGTGAATCCTGTAGTGTGCATTTGTTTTACTTTTTGGGTTGGGCAGTTTAGGACGTGTAGGTAATTTTTTTAGTAAAATATTTTTAAATTTTTGAAAATACATATTTATTGTCAAAATATTAAAATACAAATAAAACAAGTGGTTTTACTTAAAAAATAAACATTTTATTGAACAATACAATAACTACCTACCTATAGAACCTTTTTATACAAATACTAACTACAAAAAACTCAGGAACTTTCCTCTATGCGAAGTAAAAAATAAGTTAATACTTTGGTAACAAAAACATTAAAAAGTTAATATCGAAGTATAAATTTTACGTATTTACTTTTTTGGCATTTTTGCGACGGTATGTATGTTACTGACATGGTGCTGTAGCATTTACTGCAGCGATTTCCTATTACTCTTTTCGAACCTTCTACTTCTTTTAGAATGCAACGCGGCTTTGGTCCTCGTGAGATGGATGGACGAGAGGTATCCAGCAACTCTGGAGCTTCAATTAGAGTTTCTCCTTTTTTTAACTTAGCCTTAACTACGTCCTGAGGATTTCACTTTCGATTTGCTCTTAATGTCCTCACTAACTAGGTTTGTCTGTCAATAAGTCTTTCCATCAATTCCATGACAACCTTCTCAGAAACGGAAACATCATCTAGTTTTTCGTTTCCGGTGCAAACCTTGAAAGCCCAAGTGTAGCCACCAAAAATGAATAACTTGAACAATTTTATGCCAAAACGGTGTTGCTTATGCACGTGGAACATCCCTAAAAGACTTTCGAATCTATTTATGCTCATAATTTGAGGTATACGATTTTGATAAATCGATTTAGTGGACCAACGGTTTCCTATGTGTGGTAGAGCAAGAAGCCTCATCCATAATATGATACTCAAAAATATTCGCATTTCTGTAGGATTAGTATCCACCCATTCTGAAACCTTGTTCCTCTGCCTTGGATTAGCTGCTGCAGCACCAATTCTGTTTGTCGTAATCACAAATAGATCTATGATTTCATCATCAATAAAATGGTTAAAAAACTCTACAGAGCTCTTTCCTCTATTTTTAGCCCTGACATTGGGATCAACACCAACGTTCTGACGGCTCACATTAAATGATACGCGGTTTCCTTGAAGGTGATCCTATGTTTTTTTTGTGAATAATTGTGCGAAGGGTATTTTGTCATCAGAATCTTCTTCAGAGCATGATACACTGGACGAGCGTGATCTATCGTCGCTTTCAACAACGAAGTCTCTTCAGAAATGATTGCGTCATTGTCCGAAATATTATCCAGTTCCCTAATCAGCTCTTCTTCTGTTAAAAATTTTTTAGAAGTCATATATGTTGAAATCTAAAACAAAATAGAAAGACCTACACCAAAAATTAACAAAAAATAAATAAATAATGTAGTGCCCCTCGGTGGACACGCGGTTCCAGGAGGTGATTTTACATTCTGGGACCGCGTTTCCCCTGGTGGGTCACGACAAAAAAATGGAAAAAACGGGAAAAATATAAATAAAAGTCACTAGCAAACGCATTAACATTTATTAAAGTCAATGATCACAAACATCAAACAAAATATAAGTTTGGTCCCGAGGAGTAATGTAGAAATGCCCACCTGTGGGCACGCAAGTTTCGACGTGTTAAACACTAACTTCATCACACACAAGCGATTGCCATTCCACTGTTGTGAAAATTTCCCCATCGGCCACAGAACAAATCAGTTTTTTTCAGAAAAATAAGTAGGAAAATATATAATAAAAACAGCAAAATTTCAATGCTTTTACTTTATGTGTTGATAGTAAAATTTGGGCCAAAGTGCTGCTGTTAAAGTGAACAATTATTTATTTTGCCGACCGTATCGAAAATCTCGTAGTCGAAATTCATGGAGTGTCGACCCCCGACACGCGAATCGAAACGTTACTAAAAATGTCAAAAGAATCAGACCGAATATATTTCATCCGAGAGGAAATTCCGTTCTTTAAGGATTTCCCCTCGACATTTTTTTGTTTGCCCTTTTTTTGTTGATCTTTACAATTTGGTGCCGCTCTCGGCTCCGCAAATGTGCATTGGCGGTTTGAAATGACTTGGGGAGCCCCCTACGCCCGCGGCTATTGACCCACTCGTGATAGGTATTCGCGCGAGTAGGCTGAAAAGGTAACACGTTCAGGTTTCGCTTTTTTCATCCCAATTGTGTCCGAACTTTTGCGCATAAGCAAGAAGCAACAGTAACTATGACAATTGAAGGAAAAACTAAGTTAAAATAAAATAGAAAATCTACAGTAGGTTTTCAACATGTTCACCATTTTGAATAATACACGTTGTATAAACAACCTCTATATGGTTTATAGCATTACAAACAAAATCGGTGTTATTTAGTTGGACTACAGCTTCTCTAACACACCTTCATAGTTCACCGTAGTGCATCTTTCTTTATATACCATATCTTTAATTGTTTCCCCTAAAAAAAAGTTCGGTGGGGTAAGATCTGGACTTCGAGGTGGCCACCAGATGTTTTCATTTTGTCCTATCCAATTCAGTGATACCGTTTGCCCCGTGGTATGGAGCGTCATCTTGCTTACTTCCAACACTCTTTTCTTATTTTCATTACTCCATTTATGTGGGTTTTTTCTTTTGTATAAAAAATCGACTCATCGGTGTAAATTATATGACCCAAAACGTTATTAGCGAAATGCATGTCCATTAAAATATTGGAGTAGTGTAATTTTGCGACATAGTCTCGTTCCTCTAGATATTGCACGGGAAAAAACTGAAATGCTTTTCTCTTATTTAATTTTAATAATTTCTTTCTTTTAACATCCAACTCCAACGCGGCTTGAGTGTAGGATTCTGGTATATTCTCAAAATGTAGTAGTAGATCCAACTGCTTCACGTCTGTTAGAACCTTGTCGTGGTCTTTTCTTGAACGTTGACAGAAGGCTACCATCTTGCCTAAACTTTGCATAAATTTTTCGAAATAGTTTCTTCTCCGGAATCCGCCTTACAGGAAACTTTCTTTGATACTCTCGATAAAAAATATTCAAATACATCTGTTTCTTCTTGCACCATATACATTTTAAGTGAAGTAATTATAATGTTGCTTGATTAAAATGACATCTGTCAAACTCTGACTCTTAATTATAACGTCATGTAAAACACTTATTTGGTTACCACAGCCTAAGGTAAAAAGTAAGTTTCATAATAATATTATTATGCCCTTTAAAGAAATGGGAGTTTTTTACTATTAATGAAAACCTTATTTAAATATGCAAAATTTTAATAAAATATCCGATCATTCCTTGAAAAAATTATTAAAATTAAATCAAATATAAGAAAGATATGCCATTATAAAATTCTTTAAAAAATAATTAGGTGTCAGTATTTTTCGTCAACGAGTTTATTCCCAAAAATTTCGAATACCATTAGATTTAGGTATACCAAATAACTCAATTTCTGTCTAAACTATACAAAATTCAGTGGCTTTTATAAAAGTTACTTATTTATTTAGATATTTTAAAATTTTAAAACTAATGTCGGTCCAGCACTTATAAAAAAAGAATAATTTAAAAATTTAATTTAAACCATAAAACTTGTATACACTTTTTTTTTTAAATCAGTAGTTTCTGACAAAAAGTACAGGCCCTTATTAAAGTTTATTTTTCCACTGTATTTATTCAATAAAATATTGTTTGAAAGTTATTTCTATTACTTCACAGAGTATTTTAAATTTTATGTCAAAAATTAACGAATTTGTTCTTGAAATATTTATTATTATTTATTCTTTATTGATTAAATATTTTTCGTGTATCAACTAATGTAAAATTTTTAAAAAATATCAAAATTACATGTTAGCATTTCAAAGAGATTAGCTTTTAGATTTAGATATGTCGCCCACCTTCACTGGGCATAGATATTACGAATTGCAGAGTTTCATGCTTTTACAAAACAAATAATCCTTGTTAATAAATTTCTTTCGCATGAATTTTTATCGATTTGATGTAAATCGATTAATAAAACCGAACTCGCCTGAATCCAAACGTCTCGATGCGAATCCATTCCATCTTCGTGAAACGCTTAATCCCGCCACTTCATTAAAAAAATCCGAGTCAACTTCAGTCGCAAATTGACGTCGGTTCATCCTATATTTAAATCCGTAATAGAT